ACTGCTCACCGCCCGCCGACCAACACCCAGTCAGTCGCCGAGCAGCAATCACTGCCCCCCGGCCAACTCCCCCCAGTTTATATACTGAGCATGATGCCATATGGTATGGCATATCCCTTTGGCCAGCTTTGGGTCAGCTGTTCTGGCTGTGCCTCGTCCCAGCTTCCTGTGCACATCCACGCTGGCAGAGTATGGGAAGCTCATAAGTCCTTGACTTAGTATAAACACTGCTTAGCAACAACTAAAACATCCGTGTGTTATCAACATTATCCTCATACTAAATCCAAAACACAGCACTATACCAGCTACTAGGAAGGAAATTAACTCTATCCCAGCCAAAACCAGGACACTTACATAAAGGAAAAAACCACAAGTTTTATTGAGCTAGGAAGCACAAATTAAAATCCTACTGAAGGCAAGTTAGTTGTAGTTTTAAACTGTTTATCAAGCAAGATTAAAACTCAAAATCCCTCCACGGAATTTAACATGCCTGCTACCTCTTGCTAGATTAGCTAGCTTAAGTAAAAATATATAATTCTGTAATAAAAAATACACTATTAAAAGAGCATATGGCTTACTGACTTGATTTTATAAGTGTAAAACCTATTAATGTGCTTAACAGGACCTTAACTGTATTAACTAGCTTGAGCTAAGAACACAAACTAGAATGGAGCCTTCTCTTTGCAGCAAGACATGAGCTGCATTTAATCCTGATCAGCCAACCTGTTGTTAACCTTTACTGTCTTTTATCTATGCTGGATGCCAAATCATGTTTAAAATTTTTGCTAACATTAAACACAGACCATTTTCTTAGTGTAAATATTAATTATGCCACAGAAATATGCTTAAGGTCCCAACAAGTAATTTCAGGTAAACAATTCCAGTTTAAAAATAAAACCAAACAACCCAAACCTAGACCCTAAAAGATCAGGTGTGCTCCCTGGAAAGCCAAATTTATTTGTTAAATATGACCAGAACAGTAAGTGTAGTCAACAGAAAGTCACTGGAATGCAATTTAAATTATGTAAAGATTGGCAAACCAAAGTCTGAATGAAGCATTAAACTGTTTAATAAAACTGTGCTCCATCAGGGGAAACAGACATGCAAATCACATACAACATTACATGTAAAGGTGCTGGATATTGCCATAAAAATGGCAGACATTTGTCATGTAAGGGCCTATTAATGGAATTCTTTTAAGTTTTACAGGGTGTCCTGGTTTTGGCAGGAATAGAGTTAATTTCCTTCCTAGTAGCTGGTACAGTGCTGTGCTTTGGATTTAGGATGAGAACAAAATTGATAACGCACCGATGTTTTAGTTGTTGCTAGGTAATGCTTACACTAGCCCAGGACTTTTTAGTTTCCCATGCTCTACCGACTGAGAAGGCTGGAGGTGCACAAGAAGCTGGGAGGGGGCACAGCCAAACTGGCCAAAGGGACATTCCATACCATGTGACGTCATGCTCAGTACATAAACGGGGGAAAGCTGCCCGGGGGGGGCCGCTGCTCAGGGACTGGCTGGGCATCGGTTGGCGGGTGGTGAGCAATTGTACTGTGCATCACTTGCTTTGTGTATTATTATTATATCATTATTATTATATTCTATTTCAATTATTAAACTGTTTTTATCTCAACCCAGTGAGTTTTCTCACTTTCACTTTTCTGATTCTCTCCCCCATCCCACCAGGGGCGGGGGGGGAGTGAGTGAGTGGTTGTGTGGTGCTCAGTTGCCGACTGAGATTAAACCACGACACAAGGTTTTATGCATTTGCTGCACTTAATACAAACACTTAAGATCCTGTGCATTAACAAATTCAGGAAAAAGGTTGGTTTTTCCTGAGTCAGGAGGATCATAAGAAGCTTTCACTCACTCTCATAACTTTTATGAAGATATATTTTTGTGAAGGGTACCCAGACTAGGACACTGTCTAGAGGGGATGTGTCAAAGCACTATACAGCGTTAAGAGCACTCTCAATGCAGTGTTGCATGTACTACGGATTATGGGTGAGAAGCTGAAGAAAGAAGGAAAGGCCACGTGTCCCAGGTTAGGAGCCTGACCACAGAATTGTCAGCTGAGCCCTAACAGAAAGCTACTTTGAGAAGTAATTAACCTTTCTATTCTTTTGGTGTCCTTCAGTGGAACTAAAATTTATCCAACTTAATACTAATATATGAAATTTATCTGTAGTTCAAAAACTAATAAATCTTCAGCCTGACTGCACTAAAGGATGCGAGTAATTTTGAACTGCAGCCTGAAGTAACACCCATTCAGCTGTAAGGTGGAGAGAACATGTGTGTGGTTATTCTTTCCGCTGTCACAGAGAGGAGGATATGTTTCACTGCTGACTGATTTGCTTTTGTAGGGGAAAACCTGCAGCACACTCTGATTTTGTCTTTTTTTTTTTTTAAGGTGCACATTGCCTTGGTCCCAGCCTATTTAGAAGGCCAGTTAATGTTTCAAGGAGCATAATCAGCAGCTGTGCTTCACTGAAGAAACAGAACTTCTGATCAACAGAGAAAACATCATTTTGTGCAAGGAACAGAGCTTTTCCTGGGGGCTGCTTTCAAAGCAAGGAACTATTTCCCACAGAAATTAAGGAACAACAGACATCTCATGTATCCTCACTTTTAAGCAGGTCATACACTTTCTTGACTTCTATTTCTCACAAACCCACTTTTTAAAAAAGTAACAAGGGAAAAAAACAGCACAAACCTCTACCATACTAAGACTACACTGAACACTCGCTGTCCCCCCGAAGGAGAAACAATAAGCTCCCTGTGAGAGACATCAGGCATACTTAGTAAGCACTGCTAGAAAGAGCAGTCTGAGCAGAAAAGACTTTCCAGTTAGAACATGTGGATGTTAACACAGTTTTTCTAACTTTTCTGAAGGCTAGAGAAATCATGCCTCATCATCTCGCAAAATGTAGGTTTTATGGGCAAAGCACCCCTGAGAAGATCAAGAGGATGTGGAAGAAGTATCTTTTTATGTTTCTGTGTTTCTGAAATGCAACAACATGGTGTTTAATGGCATGAGCCAGTCCTCAGTCAGGTCAAGGGTATTGTTTCTATTAGCTAGAAGAGGTTTGGTATGGATCTCACAGGCCTGGAGACATGAACTATGGTGGCTTTAAGCTAACTTTTTATCTTTCTGTTCCCAGCCTGTTCTGGGGAATGCCAAAATTCCTGACCTGTTTAAGACACCTATTTTGCCCCTAACCAAAGGGCCCACCCATTTTATTGTAACTTTTGTGAGCTGATCTATGGACTGCCATGCTGGTCCCATTCTCTTTGATGCTGTGCACTATGTCATAGTTATGGCATGCTTCTGCTACTTCTTTCTCATGCTCCACATGCCGCATCTTGCCAAGCAATACCTAGAAAGCAGCTTTGCCACTATGTTTCAAAGTGACTTTCCTTCAAAAAGGATTCTTAAGGTTCAAAAAGGGTTCTTAAGTCCCTTTATTATACTCTACCTATCTAGCAAGGAAGGGTGCAAAGTAAGGATGAAATTGCTAAACAGAAAAGCATTGCTAAACACTCCCAAACTTTCAGATTACACAATTTCATAAACAGATTCTGTCAGAAAACCTCAGTTATCCAAAAGGTTATTCTTCTTATTTTTGTTTTGCTTTCACTGACGATACTGTAAAGTAATACAATACTCCCTTATCTTATTATTTTCTCTATCTCACACTTCAATTACAATATAAATTCAAAATAAGCATTGATCAGCTTCCAGAACTTTCAGAGTATTAATTTTAGTGACTTGCTTATGAAGAGTATCAGGATATCAGAAACTATAGTTTGGATGGTAATTTTTTAAATTACTATATGCAGAAGTAACAATTGTTCATACGGTTAAGTCTCTGTATTTCTAATTACCTTTCTGTGCCTGTACCACTTCATCATCTGATTCCTTCGGAACAAAAATCTCCTTTATGGCAATTAAATCATTTTTCACAGTCTCCAACTGCTCTCCATCAAGTGTTGCTAAATACGTCTGAATCTGTAAAAGAAAGGACAGAAGGAATTCCTAAACAAAACAGAGCCTTCTTCTTAAATTGCTGATTTTGAGCCTGATACCAAAATAGGCTAAGAAATGGAAACTTCCATTATGCTCAAATCTCATCTCTAACCTTCCAACTTATGTAGATGCATTTTTAGTTCTCATCAACAAAATTTGTTGTGTATCACAAAAATTACACCAGCCTTGCAAGATCATCATGTCTCTACCTTCTCCCAGAATATTTGTTTTGAATTATAAAACTGTGGCTTAATCGCAAATCCTAATGAGCATTTTGGGATTGCTTGGATGAAGCCAGCAGGAAACAAGAGCACAGGCAGAATTCATGCTTAGTCTGAGCACTCATGGGAGGAGTTAGAAAAAGAAGCCTCTCCCCTCCTTCAAAATGCAACCAAAATTATTGACAGTCTACCAGTCTACCTGTTCTGAAGAACATAACTGACAGATCTTTGGGTGTCTCAGGTATCTGCAAGTCCCTGTATATCTAATAGTGTGGCAAGCCTAACAGGGGTGGAAACAGATTCTTTGAATCACTGTTTGCACTACAGTTACGCAGTGTAATCCCATGATCGCACTCTGCCTATGGAAGCGGAGAGAAATGCCTTCTCTCCATTCAATACAAAATTTCACTTTTAGGTTTGTTTCAAGGTTGTTTTTTTTTAAGCTTGCTTGATGGATGTGCAGACTGGCTGGGTGAGAGACTGGAAAAAGACAGTATTTTCTTATGTTCCTCCTTGATGTGTCCAGCTCATGCTCAGTGTTAAATGCAAGATAAAGTTGGGAGACCCAACTCAGGTTGTGAAGGACTACCAAGGGCTTTTTGGCCCTCTCTATAGCATTGTCCATTTCATAGGATTAACTGGGACCTTATTTTAATAGAAGCTTTTAAAACAAAAGCTTTAAAATACTTTAAAATCCCTGCTATTAGAAGGACATAGGTCATTAGCAATGCCTTCAGTCTGTCTTTCGCTCCTCCTGTGGCCCATCAGAGTGTGGCTTTTGGGCTGTTAGTATAGATCTCAAGCTTACAGTACTGTTAAGTGAGTATTTTGTGCGTGTGTATGTGTATGGTAATTGGAAGATGTTCTGTGAGTCTTTTGGAATATATATCAGGGAATCAGACTTGTTGACCCAGACAGTTGCATTCAATCCTATTGGAGTGAGTAGGACTACAAACCAGGGGTTATCTAGGACATAACATGAAGCACATCAGAAACCTCATGGTAACAACCTGCACAAGTCTTCCTTACCCTGTGGTATTTAACAGTAAAAGAAAAACAGTGTTGACACATGCAATTAACCTGAGCTCGTTTTCTATTTCTCTCTTTCCTGTTTTGTGTTTTTTTTTTTTTTCTCAAAAGCAGGCCCTTGAACCTTACATGTAGGTTTTGAATTCATAATTTTGCATTTAGACATAAGTGCAAAACCACAAAACAACATGGACAGTATGTACCTAGCTATTACTAAAATAATCTGCTTTTATTTGTTAGAGCAAATAAAACATTAAAAAAAAAAGTTGGTTATTTTTAATTAAAAATAACACAGAGGGCAAGGAGTGCTAATTACTAAAACAAAAAAGAAGAAAAGATGTATTTTAAGAAATTTATTCAGAAAACTTTTTCAGTACCACTGCTGAGAATCTAAAAAAGTTCTATTAATCTACTGTCAGAGATCTACTGACAGGTGAAATTCAAAAATATATTTATCATATAGGCCTTAGTAACTTTAGCATGTTCTTCAGAGAGACATAGAGCATTTCTGTACCTCCAGTAATGATATCTTGGGGTAGTTTTATGTAAGTTTAAAACCTAACACAATAAAGAAGACTTAGGAATTGAATAAGTAATCTGGAATTCATTTTAATTCACTAGCCTCTAGGTGTAGTAGATCAAGAATTCCTGAATGTAAGTATCAGTGCCTGATACAAAACCAAAAGACATCAACCTCCTTGCAAATTCTGAAAAGACATCTGCACAGTGTTGCAAGCTGATAGATGGTCCTAACAAAAATAACTTTTGGTTGTGAAGTTGTTTGTTTTGAATTAATCTTGGAGTTAAATTTTATGTGTATTGAGATTGATGTCCTGAAGCCCAGGACTGGCCCGTGGGATCAATCCAGCTTTCTCTGAAGCTGATGAAAAACCTTCTGTTCATTTCATGCGCACCTGCAGAGTGAAATTAATGTAATGAACAACTCTTTACCAACCATTTTGATTTGTGCTGTCTGCATACTGTACCTGGGCTTCACTTTCATTTGACAGGATTTCCAGAGCTTCAAGATGAGACAAACCTTGGAACTCATCAAAAAGTAGTCCATAATGTGCTGTTCTTTCAACTGTAACTTGCTGGGCCCGCCTCTGTTTCTCTTTTTCTTTAGCTTCTCGCAACAGCTGCAAAAATGTACATAATTCCTGTTGTTTTATTGGTAGTGCTGTAGGTATAACAGATTTTATTACTTTCTGCTTCTGCTTGTCTAGAAAGTAGTAATAAAATTTGGGACTATATCACACCTGCAGAGCTGAAATTTTAGAGCTGAAATATCTAACTTCTTTTTTGATAAACTTCTCTAATAAAGTATTTTAGTAATAGTCTAAGTGTGGTTTTCCCAATGGTAATTGCTAACCATCTTTTTTAAAAAACAATGAACAAACAAATAATCTTGCTTATGTTCTCAAAAGCAATGGCAGCTATGGATACCATATAATAAATTTAGCCACCAATTACAATGAAAGAAAAATAAAAAGGACTATTTCATACACAGCCTTAAAGAGTGTTTCAATCCATTCTACAGACCACAAAATGGGAAGAATATTATTTTCAGGACCTACCTACCTACTTGCATAAATAATGCACCTACATAAATATTTCCTATAAAATATTTTTAGCAGATACTAAAGTCAGTTTTATGTGACAGCAGGACTGACAAAAGAGGTTGACCTAATAAGGTAGGACTTCTACCAAAGGTGGGGCAGAACTATACTTGGGGATATTTTGGAGTGATCTTCTTATACACTTCTGTTTGTTAGTGTCTAAGAAGGATAGAATAGTGTATAGAATAGGATCTTCTATTCCTTCCTTCTATTCCCGGGAATGAATGGCCTCTTGTATGAATTTGCTACAGTAAAGCTGGTAAATACATCTGAACTGCATCTTAAGTCACATATAAGCCTCTGAATGCAGGTTAACTCTCGCCACTTACACTATTGCATCATTCAAAATCTCTACAATATTGTCTTCAGTTATTCATTTGTTAGAAAAGATTTATGACGGCAGATTTTTCAGTCTCCACCTTCAAAAGATAGCTCACGAAGTTTTATGTACGAATCACCGAAAAGGAAGCGCTGTGTTATGTGACCCATGAGAACTGATTTATGTCACTTTCTGACTCAGATTTTATGTGTGAATTCATGCATATTGTTTAGGAAGGTATTCTCAGAAGCTCATTTTAACCCTGTGGGCCTTAACAAGAGTTACTTGCTTTTGGCCTACTACAACAGTATCAGTCTGTTTACACTTACAATGACCAACACTAAAGATGAAACATCTCATTAAAAGAAAAATAACCTTACTCGTATCTACAAGCAAGTAAACATGTAGTAAAATTGAAGTATTTTTCACCATCTATTCATTTCCACAGCCTCCCTCCTCTCAGTGTCTGGAGAGCTAAAATAATTTTGTACTGACAGCACTTATACCTCTGTTTTTATCATGTCTCTGAACTTTTAAACGTGAGTCATGACTGTATAAGGGTACCATCAGTTTGGATAGACATTAAGATATAACCTTTCACAGCTCTAATTCCTAATGAAACATATGTCCTATTCCAGTGTTATGCATTTCCCAGGAAAGTAGTATAGTGATGTTTATAGAATCATAGAATCATGGAATAGTTTGGGTTGGAAGGGACCTCTAAAGGTCATCTAGTCCAACCCCCCTACCATGGGCAGGGACATCTTCAACTAGATCATGTTGCTCAGAGCCCCGTCCAACCCCACGTTGAATGTTTCCAGGGATGGGGCATCCACCACCTCTCTGGGCAACCTGTGCCAGTGTTTCACCACCCTCAGCATAAAAAATTTCTTCCTTCTATCTAGTCTAAATCTAC